CCCCCCATTTTCTCTGCTCCTTTCCTCTTCGTTCCCTTTTTCTCTTCGTTCCCTTTTCTTTGCGCTTTTCTACTATGGCTGGGACTTTACCAGTGGTAGTGGTGACAATTCATCCCCCCTTTGTTTGGTTTCGTGGTGTTTTATGTGTATTTCAGGTTAGGGTCGGTGGCTTTTGACGGCGAGCGGGACGTGCATGTCCAAACAGTGAAGAACAATCCGGGCGACTATCAGCAAGGGGCGACACGGGAGTTGGATGTGAACATGCAAGGTGGCCGCAATACCGCCGTGTATACCAAGACAATTCCCAGGTTCTAATTGCGGGAGTTGGTACATCCCGTTTTCTTGTCTCCCTTCATTGTGTTAGTTAAATTGCTGCCATCTTAGTCATATTAGTTTAATCACCATATTAGTGTGCCTGTAGTTACAATATATCTTTCTCTACTCTGGTCTGTGCCTAGTGTGTGTTAGTGATTTTCTTTAGTCTGTCGTAGGTATAATGGTTGTGGTCTAGGATGGCCGAGTGAGGTAATGTCCTCGGGGGAAGCGGGGGATGGNACGAAAGAGGAAGGTCAATATAGCATGTGTCCAGGAGACTAGGTGGGTAGGGTCTAGGGCGAGGGATACAGACGGGTATAAACTTTGGTACTCCGGAGTACAGAAGGGTAAGAATGGAGTAGGTATCTTGGTGGATGGGAAACTTAGAGAGTCGGTGGTTGAGGTTAGACGGGTGAACGCTAGATTGATGACTATTAAGTTGGTGGTTGGAGAGTGCACCCTAAACATCGTTAGCGCCTACGCCCCGCATGCGGGCCTGGATGAGGAGGTTAAACGGCGATTTTGAGAGGGGTTAGATGAGATTTTGTGTCAAGTCCAGCCTACTGGGAGGCTATTTATAGGAGGGGATTTCAATGGTCATATTGGGTCGACCGTAGGCGGCTATGGCGAGGTGCATGGAGGCTTTGGTTTTGGGGAGAGGAACGGAGGAGGTACTTTGCTGTTGGACTTCGCTAAGGCTTTTGGGTTGGTGATTGCGAACTCTAGCTTTCCGAAGAGGGAGGAACATTTGGTTACTTTCCAAAACGTTGTGGCGACGACTCAAATTGACTATCTCTTCCTCAGGAGGTGTGACGGAGGGCTGTGCAAGGATTGTAAGGTTATTCCGGGTGAGATACTCATGACGCAACATAGGCTATTGGTGATGGATGTTGGTATTATGTTAAAGAGAAGGAAAAGGTCTGACCGAGGACGACCGAGAATCAGGTAGGGTGCCTTGACTAAGGATAAAGCCCAGGAGTTGGAGGGGTGGTTGTCGGCTATGAGAGGCTGGAGGAACAGTGGTGACGCGAGCATTATGTGGTCGACGACAACGGATTGTATAAGGGAGGCTGCGAGAGAGGTGATAGGGATCTCGACGGGCGTCTCTGGCAGGCACAAATGAGACTGGTGGTGGAATGAAGTGGTCCAAGGTAAAGTGGAAGCGAAGAAGGCAGCATACCTAAAATTAGTAGGGAGCACAAGTGAGGAGGAGAGGAGAGCGTGCACAAAGAGGTATAAGGTAGCTAGGAAAGAAGCTAAGCTGGCGGCCACAGAGGCTAAAGCGGCAGCCTATGGCCGTATGTACGAGGAACTAGGGGAAAAGGCGGAGAGAAGAAGTTATTTTGGCTGGCGAAGACGAGAGAGATGAAGGCTCGGGATTTGGACCAAGTGAGATGCATCAAGGATGACGATGGTAGAGTATTAATGGAAGATGCTCAAATTAAGAGGAGATGGCAGACTTACTTTCATGAATTTCTGAATGAAAAAAGGGATCGGGATATTGTGCTAGATGAACTGGAGCATTCTGAGAGTCACCGTGACTTTGGAGACTACAGGCACATTGAGGTTGAGGAGGTCGTTGGAGTTATGCGTAAGATGAGTAGGGGTAGAGCGACCGGGCCAGACGAAATTCCAATTAAATTTTGGAAGTGTGAGGGTAGAGCAGGCTTGGAGTGGCTGACTGAGCTATTTAATATTATTTTTAGGACTAAGAGGATGCCGTAAGAGTGGAGGTGGAGTACGGTGGTTCCGTTGTATAAGAACAAAGGTGATATCCAGAGTTGTAACATTTATAAGTGTATTAAATTACTGAGTCATACCATGAAAGTTTGGGAGAGGGTGGTTAAAGCGAGGATGAGGAGGACAATGTCTATATCCGACAACCAGTTCGGGTTCATGTCGGGTCGTTCTACTACGGAAGCTATACACCTTATTAGGAGGTTGGTGGAACGGTACAGGGAGAGGAAGAAGGATCTGCACATGGTGTTTATTGATTTAGAGAAAGCGTACGGCAAGGTTCCTAGAGAAGTTCTCTGGAGATGCTTAGAGGCAAAAGGCGTGCCGGCTGCCTATATTTGGGCAATTAAGGACATGTATGATGGGGCTAAGACTCGGGTTAGGAAGGTAGGAGGTGACACTGAGCAGTTTCCAGTTGTTATAGGGTTACACCAAGGTTCTGCGCTCAACCTATTCTTATTTGCTCTGGTGATGGACGCGTTAACACACCATATTCAAGGGGAGGTGCCATGGTGTATGTTATTCGCTGATGGCATAGTTCTGATTGATGAGTCCCGAACCAGTGTTAACGAGAGGTTGGAGGTCTGGAGACAGGCCTTTGAGTCTAAGGGTTTTAAGCTGAGCAGGACGAAGACGGAATACCTGGAGTGTAAGTTCAACACTGGACAGATGGAAGTGGGCGTGGAGACGAGGCTTGAATCACAGGTCATACCAAGTAGTGGCAATTTTAAGTACCTTGGGTTGGTTATCCAGAAGGGAGGGGAGATTGACGAGGATGTCACACACCATATTGGGGTGGGGGGATGAAGTGGAGGTTAGCATATGGAGTCTTGTGTGATAAGAGAGTGCCACCGATACTCAAAGGTGAGTTTTACAAAGCGGTGGTTAGACCAGCCATAATGTATGGGGTTGAGTGTTGGCCTATTAAGAACTCACATATCCAGAAGATAAAAGTAGCAGAAATGAGAATGTTGAGGTGGATGTGCGGTCACACTAGGATGGATAAGATTAGGAATGAAGATATTCGGGAGAAGGTGGGCGTGGCTCCCATTGATGACAAGATGCGGGAAACGAGGCTCAGATGGTTCAGACACGTACAAAGGAGAAGCCCAGATGCTCCGGTAAGGAGGTGTGAGCGGCTGGCTTTGGAGGGCACGGGAAGAGGTAAAGGACGATCTAAGAAGTATTGGGGAGAGGTGATCAGGCAGGACATGGCGAGGCTTCAGATTTCCGAGGACATGGCTCTTGATAGGAAGTTATGGAGGTCGAGTGTTAGGGGTGTAGGTTAGGAGGTAGTTGAGTCTCCCTTACTTCGTATCTTTGTGAGGCTAGTCTTGTAGGGTTTTTATCGATGTTAGCTGGTGGCAATGTTGTGTCTTACTACTCATTCGTTTACTATAGTGCCGGGTCTATGTACTGTTTATCGCGTTTGCTTTGCATCTACTTTCTCATTTCCATGATGTTATTTTTCCTATGGTTTCTATTGGTGATACTAATATTGTCTCTTTTCGTCTTCTTGAGCCGAGGGTCTTTCGAAAATAGCCTCTCTACTCCCTGGGGGTAGGGATAAGGTCTGCGTACACACTACCCTCCCCATACCCCACTAGTGGGATTTCACTAGGTCGTTGTTGTTGTTGTTGACTAAGATACTACAAAATAGTCCTAGTACTACTAGTAAGCCTAGGAGGAACATACTACTAACTGTCAACCTACAACCCTAATCTTCGACATCCACGCATTCCTATCGTTTGTCATATCCTCGGTAAGCTGAAGTAATGACATGTCCTGCCTAATAACCTCTCCTCAATACTTCTTAGGCCTACCCCTTTCCTTTCTCAAACCCGCCATGGACAACCCCTCACACCTCCTGACCGGTGCATCTATGTTTCTTCTCTTCACATTCCCGAACCATCTCAACCTTAATTCTCACAACTTGTTCTCTATAAATGCCACTCCTACCTTGTCCCTAATATCTTCATTCCTAATCCTGTCCTTCTTGGTATGCCCACACATCCATCTCAACATCCTCATTTCAGCTACTTTCATCTTCTGGGCATGAGACTTCTTGACATGCCAGCACTCAGCCACATACAATGTAGTAAGTCTAACCACCACTATGTATAACTTGCCCTTAAGTCCAGGTGACATATTCTTATCGCACAAAACCCCCGAGGCGAGCCTCTATCTTATCCACCCCGCTCCAATATGATGATTAACATCCTCGTCAATCTCCCCATTTCAAGATACTTGAAACTATCTCTTTTGGGGATGACTTGAGTACCAATCTTCACTCCACTTCTTCTTCATGCAACCCATCACTAAACTTGCACTCCAAATACTCAGTTTTTGACCTACTCAACTTGAAACCTTTAGACTCCAGCGTCTGTCTCCAAACTTCCAACCTAGCATTAACTCTGCCTCGCGTCTCGTCAATCAATACTATATCATCAGCGAATAGCATACCCCATGACACCTCCCCTTGTATGTGTCGGGTCAGCACATCTAACGCTAAGGCAAATAAAAACGAGCAAAGAGCCGATCCATGATGCAACCCCATCTCCACTGGAAAATGATCTGAGTCACCTCTCGCAGTCCTCACTCGAGTATTCGCGCCCTCGTACATGTCCTTATCACCCTAATGTACGCCACTGAGACACCACTAGCCTCCATACATCTCCATAAGACCTCTCTCGGACTGTCATAGGCCTTCTGTAGGTCAACTATTGGCATATGGATAATGAACTAAATATAAACCATAAAACTTTTGAATTTTCAGATATTCAAAAATTCAAAGTACTAAATCCAATATACAATCTGATATCCAAAAGTTTTAAAAATTAAATTCAATATCCAATCCGAAAATACAATCCAAAAAATTAGAATTTTAGTTTGAATTTCGGGTTTGCCGAAACTATACCCACCCCTAAAGTTGGTCGTTGAAGGTTGCGTGGGGGTGATTATTATTTTCTGGATGGGGTGAATTATTTATTAACAAAATAAGAAAGTATAGTGTTAAGCGTCTGAGTTTGGAGTGTTGCAGAGTGAAAAAGAGGACGGACCGAGTTGAGATTTTGAGAGGCGTCTAGCATGAAGAACCCACTACAAGTCCCTCGTCTCTTCCTCTTTACACTGGTATTCTCCGTTGTATACCCAACGTTCCCCTGTTCTTAATCTTCTCGATTTTTTACAATTTATACAATCATTGATAAATTTGTTGTGTATAGGTACTGGCGAATGAAGTTGGGGGCACTTTGCAATATCCTGTGGTAATAAGCACGTGGCCGTTCTTGGAAGCTGTTAGAGCTGCGTGGAGGGCTGTGGACAGTGGGTTTTCTGCAGTAGATGCAGTTGTAGAAGGTTGTTCTGCTTGTGAGAAACTAAGATGCGATGGTACAGGTATAGAGTCACTCTCATTTTATAATAATATTTCCTCTTTTTTTTATGACTGATTAATTGAAAAACGAAATAAAATGTGTAATAGGAGTTATTTAATATAATTATTATAGTATATTGGATGTTGAAACTCGAAATTTATCACCTTAAATGCTTTTCTGATGCTGTAAGTGCTAATTGATGTAAATTTTTGTACTTTTATTTTGTAAACTGTGCACTTCACTTTTTGGTTCTTGGGTTTCTTGCTTAAAGTAGGAGTCTGGTCATTTTTTACCTTATTTCGCTTTTAGAGACATGGATTAAGATATCTATGAGATTTGAGTTGGCATAATGTTTTGGAAGGTTTCAATAGGTGAATCTAAGGACATGCCATCTAAGTCCAGTAATTAGTATATTAGATGCCTAGGAAACTTCATCTAGTAGAGTTCGACCTAATACCAAGCAACTCTCCTCTGGTTTAGTATTTAGCCTTGAAGATTCAATTATTCCTGCAACTCTTCTGGAGAAGATCATCGCTCGGATTATTTGACATCAAAATGATTCCTAGGAAGAATGCAAGTTTAAAGCCAATATAATGAACAAAAAAGTTTTTGTCCATTCATGAAGTGGTTGAATTTATGCAACTAATGTGGTGTTCTATTCCAAGGATTTGATGCCACTAATCGCATTACTCATTCTTAGTCCTTGAACCGATATTATGATTGTTATCCAAGCATATATATCAGACTGACTTGTGTCTTGACTTGGACAATTTCAAAAGTTCAAGAGGTCTTAGTGGAAGATGCTACATCTCATACTCAATATTGAAATAGCAAGTAAAATAGAAACTCATTGAAATCTCAATAAGAATACAGCGTCCAACCACGATCTATGCAATGTCTGCACAACAAGAGTTTTTAGCTGCATGAAATAAGGAAATTTTTCTGATTCCTGTGATTCTAAAGTACTGTTACATTAAGGGGTCGTTTGATATGCGGACTAAATTATCCTAGAATTATAGTCCTGGAATTATAATCCAACTAATTTATCCCAACTGGGAGGTAGGATAAAATAATACCAAGTTTCATGGGATAATGTGGGATATCCAGGGTTACGTCTTAGACTAAGTTTATACTATGTTTGGTTAAAGGTATAAATATTGTCCATCAAACATAGTTTAAATTTAGTACCACACTTTATCCCGCGTACCAAACGACCCCCAAGAATATTCTGCATAATATTTTTAATCATTCTCTATTTTGACAATAAGAAAATTATTGGGATTATTTTATACAATATTCTTAATACTCCTCTTGATTTAACACATGCCCCCTCAGACTCAAAGTAGGGAACTAACTTGAAGTTTGTTTATTCTGAAAAGAAGAAATACTAAAAACTCTATGGATTAGTAAACAGTGCCTGAATATTGTTGCGAAAGTGGTGAACAGTCACGGAAAAGGAAAGCAATGATGGAACACTTCTCCATGAAAATAGATGGTTGGTAATTGTACAATGAAAGGATGTGCTTCTTACAACACACACAGAAGCATCTACTCTTAGTTGTCGAAAAGAGGTATCATGGTGAAATCTCCAAGACATCACCGGTGTTGACTGAGTTAGCGGATAACATAAAAGTTGCTTGAACGCTGGAAGAAGGACTGGAGTATCAGCAAGATTGGGACAGTGCTGACGAAATGACACTGGAAAGAGGTGTGATGCCTGAACAAACCAAAAAGAGGCATGGTACCATTAGAATGATCACCAGAAAGTTAACGCTTGAAGAATGGCCAGATGTTGACTGAAGTAAGCGCAATCACCAGAAAGAGACACAATGCTGCTGGAGCGGTCACTGAAAAGAGGGAATCTACCACCAAAAGGGTCACCAAAAAATGGCGCAGTGTCACCAGAATGATTATTAGAAAGAGATTCTGCTGCCAGAATGGTCACCCGAAAGAAGAAAGATTAGTAAAATTATAAAAAACAAGAAATTTTTTTAGCCAAGTAAATAGTGTAAGGTTTCCTGCCAATTAGTAGAAACTACGTGAAATCTTCGCCAATATTGTTGAGATACTACCATGAGAAATGAGAAAAAAGTTCTTCTTGAAAGAGTTGGTTTAGCATGATAGAAGAAGGGTTTCTTATATAGGATTTTGAGTTTTGCGAAATAAGGAAATTTACCTAATTTCTGGAAATCCAAATGACATAATCATTAGAATATTCGCTTGACTTTCAACAATAACATAATCAATAAGAATATTGTGTACAATATACCTAAAATTTCTCTGGAATTTCAATCATATCACTACATCTACCTCATTTTATATGACCTATTTCAATGTAAGAGGGTTGATTCGGTTGACAAGATAAGTCCTCTGTCCATTGATTGTCTGTTGTTGAAAGTAAAAATTATACATCTAGAAATGCATATGAAAAATTAGTACAAATGTTTGTGCAAAAGAAGAATGTTCTTGACAGAAAATCAAGTCATAAGGTAAGAAATGATGCAGTTGAGCATCTATATGATGGTTTATGCAATATTATATTTGCATCGCTAGATATACAGTTCATAAGTATTATTTTCATGGCAGTCGGGCCAGGTGGAAGTCCAGACGAGAATGGAGAAACTACAATTGATGCCATGGTGATGAATGGGGTAATAACATTTCTTTTTGTTCTTGTAAATTGATGCGATGGTGATGCATCGAGTAATAGCATTGCTGTTTATTCTTGTATATTGCTTCATGATCACTTTGACGAAGGCAAACGTAATTTGCAATTTATTTTGTTGCTAAGACATGCTTAGGTAACAATGGAGGTTGGCGCTGTTGCTGCTATGAGGTATGTACCAGAGGGCATTAAAGCTGCAAAGCTAGTGCTGGAGCATACCAAACATACTATGCTCGTTGGGGATCAAGCCTCAGCTTTTGCCATTTCAATGGGCCTTCCAGGGCCTATAAACCTAAGCTCAGTTGAGTCAATAGAGAAGTGGATGAAATGGAAAGCAAATTATTGCCAACCTAATTTTTGGAAAAATGTCTCCCCCGGGGATAATTGTGGTCCATACAATCCAAATGGTCCTTCAATAGGAAGATGTCTGATGGCAAATGAGCTCCAGCCTGACGAATTTGGATCAGTTAATGTTGGTTTAGATAGCCATGATACAATATCCATGGCTGTCATTGACCAGGTAAGTTGTTGGTGTATCAGCCTTCCTTCATTTTCTGGCTCGTTAGGTTCTTTCACTAGAATTCTTTATTCCTTTCCTTTTTAGGTTGGACGGATTGCTGTTGGTACATCAACTAATGGAGCCACGTTCAAGATTCCGGGAAGGTGATGATCTTTACTTGTTTGTGTTATGAGAACAATTTGTTTGATCTTTCAATGCTTTACCATGAAGGTAATAGAAAAGAGTCAATGACCTTTTTAGAGTTGTTGTGCTTAGGCCACAGGCCACAGGCCACAAACTTTTATTTATGTGGTTATCAAACTTACCATCCCTTGCCTAAAGGGACCATGCTCGTCTTAAAGGGAAGAAGAAAAGACATGTTCTGTAATGTTGTGGAGGGACATGCCTTTATTCAGGGGTGTCTAATATAAGGTGAAACAGTTTATAAGCCTTTCATATATCTCAATGAAGAGTTTAGTGCTTGATTTATCTATTTTGGAGTGGAAAAGAAAATATTATCTTTAGAGGTGGTCACTGAGGTATCAAAAGATTAACATTTACACATTGTCGGCTTCTCAAGTCCTGTCAGTCTACATTTGTATATTAAGAACTTTGTTAGTGCGTGAATATATTCTAGAGAGATAATGCTAATTTGCAAAAATATGGATTCATAATAGCTCTCTCTTTAATGTCTATGTTTGAGTAATCTCCTCTTTTCCCTTTCCACCATGCATGGTTGATAGGTGGTGACATTTCTTATAATAGAATCGGGAAGTTAAAAGTGGCCCATATATACTATAGACCTTTAAGTTCTCACTGAAGGGAAGCGCGGACAGTGTTTTTTGTGTTAAGTGAAAGGAAGGTGGAAATTTTATTACAGAAGGAAGGAGCAATTTGTTATACTTAGATTTAGATTTCTGAATCTCATTTCTCTAAAATCAATTTGTAGAATGTCGACTTGCATCAGTAGCTGATCTTTGGAAGATATTATGTTTAGTATGTTTGCCTCTAGTAGTAGAAATTTACTTCTCTAAGAGAATAACGTCATTACTGTAGTAATTCAACCACAACATTATATCAAACTGGTTTTTAGCTTTGCTGTTGGTTTCCTATCTTTAACAATTTCCTTTTACTTCTCCTTGCCCCTTTCTAAACGCAACACTAGGGTTGGTGATGGGCCTATAGCAGGGTCTTCAGCGTATGCTGATTCTGAAGTTGGTGCCTGTGGAGCCACTGGGGATGGTGATATCATGATGCGCTTCCTTCCGTGGTACTTCTCAGGAACTTCCTCTAATTATTCTGTGCCATTATGTACAGCAGAATTATATATGTCTAGAAACCAAGTAAATGATGCGCTTCCTTCCGTGGTAAGATGAACAGAATGTTTGTAATAGCTGACCAGGTGAAATTACAAGAGAAGGGTATGAAGGTTGGGGATTTTACATAAGAACTCCTTGTCAGGAGAATAAAGTAGTCAAGCTTGGACTCTCGTTTTTCACGCGCACACACACACACAGATGGTGTTCCTACAAAGTTAAAATCATTCAACTTATGATGATTAGCATATTGTCTTATGGCATATAGAAACGATCAAGCGTGCATCAAACAAGCATTTTAAAGTTCTCCTTGTTTCTGAATTAGTTATCACGAGTCCCGACAGTAAGACTAAGCTCTTTGGGTCTAGCTTATCAGGATTAACTCATGACTTGCATCAACCCCACTTCTCATCCTATCAGAGATAGGTATAGCAAATATGTGCTAAAAGTGTCTGAATTATGGGCAGTACTTAGGTTGTACGTAGTTGATTTTGCTTGCTCTCCAGATCTCTCTTGCTGGGAACCGAACTTGTGATAAAGCTTTAGATTTCACTTCCGGAAATACTCTATTCTTTCCTTCCACACTTATAGGGCATTAGAGAAGTTTCTAGTTGGACCTCATACATTTTTCTAAGCTTATTTCCAGTTTTTAGAGGCCAGCATAACTTATACGGAGATAAAACATCTTTCTATGTTGTTTGCCTGATGCCAGTTATCAGGTTGTAGAGAGTATGAGATTAGGAATGGAACCCAAAGTAGCTGCAAAAGATGCTATATCGCGAATTGCAAGGAAATATCCCAGCTTCATTGGGGCTCTATTTGCAGTCAACAAAAGTGGTATTCATGCAGGTGCATCCCATGGTTGGACTTTTCAGTACTCTGTCAGAAATCCTGGGATGAAAGACGTGGAAGTATTTACTGTTCATCCCTGAAACTGTGACTGCCACTGCCACTGCCACTGGTAACTTCTTTCGCATACATAGTAAGTAATTTTTTTCTTTTCCATAGTGCCACATGAGTAGTTTCTTGTGGATATGTAAAAGAGATAAAGGCAAAATACCTTAAACTTGTCTACACTTGAACACTTTAACCAGGTTATTACTATGTCACTTTAGACACAAAATGCTGACTTGGCAAGATAAGCGTTTCTCACATTTTTCAAGTGCGTGAAATCGTCCAAAAAATAAACTCGACATACTTCTTGCAGGAAAATGAATAGCTTCAGCCCGAAAATTTTCTGGTCAACTTCTCCTTCAATTTCAGATGTTCACAGGATTACCACCGAATCCTCCTTCAGATCTGGGCCGCTGCAATTCTGCCCAGAAAAGTAGCGTTCCAATCTGAAATTTTTTCTTCTTCCTCGAATTTTCAGATCTAATAGTTTTTGGCTTAAATCAGTATTTGGCTACTAATGTATAACCCTGAGAAGAAGATAGTTCTGAACTTTTAGAGCCAAGAATTTTCCTAATAAAAGTTGGCCCAGAAGAGAAATGATACTAACAGAAGGGAGAGATTTTTTTCCAAGGGTGGTTGCCCCTCTCTGTTGTGCCAATGATTTTTCTGTAGCTACTAAACCAACAACCCATGATCATGAATTTTGAAAAACAACATATGCATCTTCAGTCTACAGCCATGAACCTCTGCATATGTGTGTGTGCGTGTTTTACTTTTTCCTCCTTTGGAATAATTCTACAAAAGAGGCAGTGATGACGGAACTGATGTTTTCACGGTGGAATGGTCTGAAAATTTGTGGAAAAATAGATTTGAAGGTGAAGAACAATCTTTACGGTTTGGAGTTTCTTGATTTAGCCCAGAATTGAGCTGGAAAAGAAACGGCCGGAAATTGATTTTTCCGGCGAGGGATCATTGGGGAAAATGATCACGAGTGAATCCACTTGTCCTCGTTTTATTCGTAACTTTGGCATGTGAATTACATACATCTTTTGTGTTTGGCTGTTTGCAAATTTTGTGTCTAAATGACATGGTAAAAGCTTTGTTAAAGCGTTAAAATGAAACAAATGAAGATGAAGTGTCTAAATAAAAAATGTGGATAACTTTAAGGGAGTGTCCATGTATTTTGCCAAGAGATAATGTCTAGATTGGTACAGCAAGTTCAAAGAGCATCTGAGAAGACTATCTTATTAGACTTCTATTATTACCTTGCTAAGAACCTAAGACATCTCCAGAGCAATACTATACTCACTGATTTTACCCAGCTACTTGAATTGGGCTTTTAAGACTGGTGGAGATTTTTTTCCGAAGAATTAACTTAAATAGTCGTCCACCTAATTGCTTAAACTGAAAATAACTGGCGGGTATATATTATATATAATTCATGTATAATCTATGCATACTGATTAGGAATAGTAAATTCGGCCGGTTGTTTGCGTAAATATCCGATAATTTTTTCGGAATTGAATTTTGTTTTTCTCAAGAAAAATTGCAAGTTTAACATTTTTACAAATTTATGTGTATAATAATAGACTTAATGTGATCTGATTCATTCCCGGATATCAAACATCGCAAGAGCTTACTTTACTAGAATGTCTTTTTTACTCCCTTTATTGGACTACTTCATTTGTTTGTATGAGGATCTAAATCTGAATGGTCCAGATCTTAGCCCATTAAGTACATTTTTTTTAATCACTTTTAAAACATTTGAATAGGTCAGACCTATAACCTAGTCTTATAGCATGTTTGGTCAAGTTTTTAGAATTAGGTTATTTTGAAAAATATTTTTCTCAAAATTATTTTTCAAAAAAGTAATTTTGGTGAGAAATAGTTTGTGTTTGACTACTTAATTTCAAAAGTACTTTTGAGCATTAATTAGTATTTGACCAAGCTTTTAAAAAGTGCTTCTAATAAGTGTATTTTTCTCAAAATTACTTATAAGGAGAAGTTACTTTTTTTTTTGCTTCTCAAAAACTGATTCTGTTTCTACTCAAAAATATTTTTTTCTTTCTAAAAGTTGGGCCAAACGCCTTAACTTTGGAAAACAATAGCTTATGTTACGTTAAAATAGCACGGGTTAGCCAGTTTTCAGACTGGTCATTCAAAAATAACCGGCGTTTGCCAAGTCATTGAAAAATAGCTATTATTTTGCTGCAATAGAGACCGGTCCAGCATAATATACTGGAGTTCGGTGCACCTGTGTCTAACTTCCAGTATATTATGCTGGACCGGTATACTTTGCTGGCTCCAGTATAATATACTGGAGTTCCAGTATACTTTGCTGTTCCAACAAAGTATACTGGAATTCCAAACTCCAGTATAATATACTGGAGTTCCAGTATATTATGCTGGAGTATTTTCTGGATTTTGAACTGTGTTTTCGTTCAGATTTATCTTTACATGAAAAGTGGCTAAATTTCGATGATTTTTGAAACTGTGGCTATTTTTGAATGATCACTTGTAAATCTGGCTATTTTTGAATTTCTCCCTATGTTTATGGTGCGGCAAAAAGTAAAAAAAGCCCGAAAAAATTATAACTATATTATATAGTTTAAACAAGAAAAGAATTTATATAATATAAAATTCTGATTTTAAACTTCTGAATATTACAAATTCATACATAGTTTTCAAAATTACGTGAAGTATATATTATTTGCTTATCATGGGATGAGCTAAATGATGTACTATATAGTATGAAGTTGGACAAAAGTAAAAATACGATCATATTCAAGAAGTTATAGATAATATAAATATCAATATTATTAGTCGGTTAATCTATTTTTTATCTGAATTAAATATGGACAGATTAGTTATTTTTTCATTTTTGCTTAACCCATACCCGTCCCTTTGGCGCCACTTGTCAAAAGCATCAACACCGCTTGACTATAATAATTAGAGAAAATATGATTTTCTACCTCAGTTACCACTTACCCATATTTAATACATGAAACAAACTTATAGAAGCTACCTCTACCACAATCCAAAAGAATAGTAGGGCTCTTTTGACTCAACTTTCTAACTTTGATCATATCAAGAACGACAAAAGAAGTTTCGATGGCAATATGAATCTTGGCCCTGTAAATAGAAATTGTAGGAATTTGAGAACCCTTTTTCATTGGAATACCGATCCTTAAATCAGATGAGAAACTGAGTAAAAGTGTTTGCTGCTCCTTGATCGCTAACTGAAAATAAGAAAGACGGCCTTTGAAAAAAATAAAAATGGCATATCTTGAAAACAATAATGTGGTAAGTTTTTTTTTTTTTGCTTCCTCTTCTCGGTCATCTAACAGTGTATCATGTAGTTCATTATAAAAATGATAATTTTGTATCAAATTTATTTATATTCAGGACTATGGTTTGCGATAATATAATGAATGTTATTGATAATGGTATTGTTGGGTATTTGTGATAGTTTTTAGAATTTGTGGGTATAAGTCATGTTTCATATTTTTCCAAACCAAACTTCACCCAAAACAGATGTCCAAACACATTTTCATCTTCAAACTAAACTTCACCCAAATCAGAATTTTCAGAATAAATTTGGGAATCTATGGCCAAACGCTGGATTAATGTGCAGTCAATAACTTATAAACGAAAATCTTAATGTGCAGTCACCATGTAATCCGTAAAAGGTGGCCTTATTTTTAGGTTTTTTATTTGTGAGCCTTGTTGACACATTTGGAGTCTTTTATTTAAGGCCTTGTTGGCCAAATAAATGGCCTTGTATTTTGAGAGGATGTGATCAATTGTTGGCCAAGCATTTCTTTCTTGTTTTCCTATATAATGAGGACTCTGTACTCATTTGAAAATACACCAACAAGACTTGTCTTCAATTTTTGTTTCTTTCTTTCCTCCTTTATTAAGAGTGTTTTGTGTGAGAGTTTAGTGTTGGGCTTGTGTGAACCCTTTCTTTGGAGTGATCTTGTGAGGTTATTCTCTTAGGGTATTTGGGATGAATTAGAGTGTTTACTCTAATTTTGTACTCTCTTTTGTAATATTATTGTTATAGTAAATTGCTTCTTTCCGCTTGTGGACGTAGGTCACTTTGACCGAACCACGTTAAATTTGTGTCTTCCATATCTACTTTAATTGTCGTTATTATCAACTTCCATTGTCTTTGTTATTGCCATTATACCGTTGTTTGGCTATATTTCGCACTACCCAGATTTCCGATCCTAGCATAATGTGCTACATTCCAATAGCATAATCAAAGTCAATAGAGCAGTATTCTGTTTGATATTTCCATACAAAATTAATACAAGCACCAAAAAAGCCCAAAAATCCAATAACTTTTTCACCCAAATAGCTGTAGCAGAATAAGGAGAGAGGGGAGTTACAATGCACCATAATTTATTATAAAATGCTAACTTTATAAAAAATACAATGTGTGAAAAGTAAAGAGACGAACCAAAGCGTATGCATGCTTCAATTCAGCATATTTTCATGTTATCAACCTTTTACCATTCTTTCACAAAAATTTCAAGAAGAAAAAAACTTTAGCACGCTTTCTCCTTTCCCCGAATAACCCCTAAAAAGAAAGATATGAAGAGACACAACATCTCATCAAAGTTGTAAATTTTTTATAGCAAACATGCATGTACAGAGCAAATAATAATCTCTGTAAAAAGTAAATTAACCAACAAAAGCTGCTACATTCTTCGCTAAAGCAAATTTCCCATATTTTAAAGAAGAAATAACGATTACAACTTTTCCTAAAATAACACAAAATAAACAAGAAATATCCAAGGAAAAGCTTTAATCACAGCGAATACAGAGGCTTTAAACCAAGCAAGAGATTCAAAGAATAAAAATAATGGAGCAACACTTAGCAGAGCTCAGAAATAAAGTGAAGGCCAACGATTAATTCGAACCAAAGTAAAGAAACTATGTTGAAAAAGTAAATGCGTCAAAGAAGAGGGAGCAAAGAGGCAAAAAATTAAAAAGAGGAAGGAGGAAATGAAAGAATAAAAATGATTTGAAGAAATTTCTTCCTTTTTGTATTCTGTAAATCTGTGTATTACTGCTGTATATTACTAGGATTTTATACAAATAGGAAGGTATCTAGGGTTGCATACTATGTTACCAAGTGGCAATGTCCTATTAGCTAGAACAAAATTGTACATAAAATAAATACATGGATGGGGCAAATAATTAAATACAGAGCTACCATATGTTGTGCACTGTGTGAATAATAGAGCTGAAAAATGCAAGCCCATAAGTGGGCTGGGGCAACCAGTCAAGCAGGCCCAATGCATTTTGCATGGATGGCCCAATAAACAGGCCCATAACTGATGGCCTCATATGTGTGTGTGCTCGGATCTGATAAATCAAATCTTAATCAGACCTTTCATCTTCTCAAACACCCCCATTTCATCTTCTTTCATCTTCTTCGACTCCAACACCCCCTTCAAGTTGGAGAGGGTCGAAAATACACCCAACTTGTCCAAAATACTACGATGAAGAGGTCATGTGAGTGGTTTTGTGAAGAGATCTGCCAACTGGGCAGAAGATCGAACAAATGATAACGAAATCAACCCAGCTAGGTATTGTTCGCGCACAAAATCACAGTCGATTTCAACATGCTTCGTCTATTCGTGAAAAACGGGGTTTTATGCTATGTGAATTGTTGCTTGGCTGTCGGAGTGAAGAGTGACTGGAAGGTCAATAAGAATTGAGAGATCCTCAAAGAGACGAACCAACCATGTAAGCTCAGTAACTACGCGTCGCATAGATCTGTATTCTGCCTCTGCCGAACTGAGTGAGATGGAAGTTTGCTTCTTGGATTTCCAAGAGATCGGAGAGGTACTAAGGGAAATGTATAAACCACTCACCTATTTCCTTGAGTCCGGGCAGGTGGCCCAATCGGAGTCACAAAAGGCTAGGATCTTCAATGAGGAGGAAGAAGACATAAAAAGCCCAAGCCCAGGATCTTTGAGCAAATAGCGAAGCACACAAAATGCTGCTTCTAGGTGTGGCTGTCGTAGGTTCTGCATGTACTGGCTGAGGTGGTGGACAGTGAAGGATAAGTCTGGGCGGGTGTGAGTGAGGTAGTTGAGTTTGCCAAGTAGATGGCGATACAAGGTGGGATCCTTCATTGGTTCCCCTGTGTGAGTAGACAAACGAGTAGATGGATCGAGTGGAGAAGAAACATACGACAAATGGAGGGAGTCAAATTCACGAAGAAGGTCTAAAATGAATTTGCACTGAGAAAGGATGAGTCCATCTTTTTCTCGGATAACTTCCATCCCTAAAAAAAAAATATAAGTCCCCAAGATCTTTAATTTTGAATTCTTGATTGAGAACTTCTTACAATGCATATAATTCTGCATTGTCATTTCCTGTCAAGAGTATATCATCTACATAGATAGCCACTATAGAAATGGAAGAATCTGACCTTTTAAAGAACAAAGAATAGTGGTTTAATGAGTGAGTGAATCCCTTAAAGTTCAAAGCAGTGGTAAGTTTAGCATACCACTATCGAGATACTTGTCGTAGCCCATAAATCGATTTCTTTAACTTGTATGCATGAGTGGGTGAAAGAGGTGCAACCCTAGGTGGGAATTTTATGTACACTTCTTCATTTAGATCTCCATGTAGGAAAGCGTTATTCACATCAAGCTGTTATAAACCCCATCCTTTCTTTACTGTAGTGGCCAGTATGCATCTGATTGTGGTCATCTTTACCACAGGTGAAAAAGTTTCATTGAAGTCTATTCCCTCTTTCTGTATGTCTCCTCTAATGACCAATCTTGCCTTTAATCTTTCTACACTGCCATTTGAATGTTGTTTAACCTTATACACCCATTTGCATGGTAAAGATTTCCTTCCATGTGGTAACTCAACTATTTCCCAAGTCTTATTAAGTTCAAGTGCCTCAATCTTTTTGTCCATTACTTCTTGCCACCCTGGGTGATGTGTTGCTTGTAAATAGTTGGTAGGTTCTTGTAGATTGGACAATGTGTTTAGCATATGTTGATTTGTAGAAGATAGTCCACTGAAAGATATACAAGTAGGTGTAACAGGTGTGAGAAAGCAAGAGTTGCTAATATTTGTGAGTTGGAGTACATTACAGATATAGTCCTTGAGATAAGCTGGAGTTGTGTGTGGTCTGTTAGACTTCCTAACAAGAACATCCATCATAGGATCAGAATCCAAAGAAGAAAAAACGGGTGTAAATGTATGTGATTGACTAGATGATACTGGAGAATCTGGAGACAACCTAGAAGAAGAGATATAGGGAATATGTGTGCTAGGATGAATTGAAGAAATGGGAGAGGAATAGAGATCAATTGATGATTCAGTAGGATCTTGGGAAGGTTCATTATGAGGTCTGCTAGCAGAAGGTGAAGTTTCAGGAGTTTGGTTACTTACAGTAACTTCAGCAGTGGGTAAAGAAATATAATTAGAAGTATTGGACTTAGTAGAAGCAAATGGAAAGAATTCTTCATGAAATACAATATCTCTGGAAATGAAAGGCTTTAAATTCTTGAGGTTCAAGACTTTGTAACCCTTCTTTCCATGAGGATAACCTAAGAACACACAAGGAGTAGCCCTTGGTACAAACTTAGTTCTATGATTTGAAATAGTGAAAGCAAAACATAAACATCCAAAGCATCTAAGGTTAGAGTAATTTGGCTTGCTTGAAAAAAGAACTTCATAAGGGGTCTTAAGCTTTAAGACACTTGAAGGAAATCTGTTGATCAAATAGGTTGTTGTAAGAAGACAGTCACCCCAGTATGATATAGGTAGGTGTGATTGGTATAACAAGGCTCTGGATGTCTCTAAAAGATGCTTGTGCTTTTTCTCCACAACACCATTTTGTTGTGGTGTGGACACATAAGTGGTTTGTTGAATAATGCCTTGTTACTGAAAAAATTCTGATTGAATGTTCCCACTTCCCAATTCAAAAGCATTATCTGACCTTATAGTTTTCACCTTGCTGTTAAACTGCCTTTCTACCATAGCTAGAAAGCTTTTTAGAATAGTGAATGCATTTGATTTGTTGGTTAGTAGATAGGTCCATGTACCTCTACTGAGATCATCAACAATTGTAAGAAAATACTTAAATCCATCATATCTAGCACTATTATATGGTCCCCAAGTATTCACATGAATTAATTCAAACACTTTCTTGGTAGAACTAGAACTAGAGGGAAAAGGAAGTCTGGATTGCCTTGCCATAGGACAAATAACACATGGAGTGGAGAATGTGGAACACTTGGATATAGAAACTGATGGAACATTTTTCATATTGCTAAGGGGCATATGGCCTAATCTGTAGTGCTACAGCTTTTCCTTTACAATTGAATCAGAAAAACTAAAACATGAATGTAAAACATGATTGGAAACAGAATTCCTTCTTGGAATGAAAACTCCTCTAAACTTAGGAAAACTTCTAGACACTGCAGCAGTGTATCTGGATCTGAGAATGTATAGTCCTCCTTCCTATTTACCAATCTCTAGTGGGCTCTTCATTGAAGGGCCCTGCATAAGGAAACATGAAAAGGGAGTGAATAAAACATATTGCTTGAGTTGTCTGCACAACTTGTGCACAGACAAAAGATTATATTTAAAAGATGGAATGTAAAGAATATTTCGCAGAATTAGATTAGACAAAAGAGAAACAGTCTGAATGTGTGACTTTAACTTTGTAAGAGTTTGGGAGTTTAACCATGAGAGGTTTAGGTAGGGTTTTCAAATTTATGAAAAAATCTTTGTTGAAAGACGTGTTCTGTTGCTACACTATCCAATATCCAAGATTCATCATTGATTTGAATTGAACAGGCAACATTTTCAAGGAAGTTGGTCATACCAGCACAGCTCATGTTTGCTGCAACATCAGAGGTTCCTGTACTATTTTGTGCCATTTTTACTTGCTGAAGAAGCTGCGGCAACTCAGCCACAGTTTCCTTGGTAAGGTTCTGAACTCCTATTGCATTTGTTGTTCCTTGTTCATTTTCCTCATTTGAGAGGAAAGTATTATTTGTCTGGGCATCTACCTGAAACCTTTTTTGCCTTGTGAACTTGAAATCAGCTGGAAACCCATGAATCCTATAACATTTGTCCATGCTATGTCCAGGTTTCTTGCAATAGGAACAAGTTCTTGCATTCTTCTTCTTAGATTCAAAACTTGTTTTCTGCATATTAAATCTCATGAAATTTCCTGGATGATTTGTAGTAATGAATGAGGCAGATTCCCCTGAGTATGCAGAGGTAGCATGTATCTCCCTATATTTCTCATCTTGAATCACAAGAGAATATGCATGTCCAATGGAAGGTAAATGTGATGATAATAAAATGTTGCTCTTTACCCCAATAAATATGTCATTCAGTCCCATTAGGAACTGCAGTAGTCTCTCATCTTGGTATGCTTTCAAACTTTTGACTTTTGCCCCACACTCACACTCACACTCACAAACACAAGTGCATCTAGTTCATCCCATAGGCTCTTCATCTTGGTGAAGTAAGTTGATACACTAGAATTTTCTTGCACCACTGAACTTAATTCCTTTTGTAATTGGAATAGCTTTGCTCTATTTGCCTGACCAAATTTGTCTTCCAGGTCACCCCATAAATTCTTTGCACTCTATGAGTAGATCACACTCTCAGCTATATCTTCGGACAGGGAGTTGAGCAGCTATGAAAGTACCACATCATTACATCTAGCCCAGTGTCACGTCCTTAGTAATTAACAAAGTACACGTGCGGCACTTGACAATTTGCTCACGTTCTTGTTATGCTAAGTCAGCCTTACTACACTCAAGATCGCTAAGAGAATGGTAGAAAGAACACAATAGAATTGATAATGGAAGCTTTGTATTAGAAAGAAGTTGAATTGTTTGCTTGATGAATTACAAATGAATGGCCTCCTTTATATACTAGTCTCCTAGGGGCTAGTGTGCAAATATTAATTGTTACACAAGTCCTTAATATTTACAAGATAAGGGCTTTCTCAAGAATTCTCTACAAGCCTAGAAGATTCCAAGGACTTTCCTAGCAAAGCCATAAACATCTAGGATCTTCCAAAGGAAATGTCCATACTTCTCTCAAATCTTCTCACAAATGCAAGCATTCCTCCTATGTAAGCTTCCACATGGCATTAATATATGCCAAATGGCGCTTATGTGGCATGATGACATGGCGAGTCATCACACTCTCCCCCACCTAATGTTGCGACGACCGCGGCGCAATGTTGCTGCATAAACTCTCGGATCTTATCTTTGAATTGCCATAAATCTTCATAACGTTCCCATGTGGCCTCCTCCGGTGATTGCCCCTTCCAATGGACGAGGAACATTGCGGTGGCTTTTTGCCCTTGTTTTCGCCTGGCCTGGTAATTAATAATAGCCTCAATCTCCCGGTCGTGCGAGGCAGTGATAGTAATAGGCGCTCGACTTGATTGGCCCCTACTTGGATCATCATTGTCTTCATGATAGGGCTTAAGCATGCTGGCATGGAAGACATGGTAGATCTTAAGATATGATGGCATGTCAAGCTTGTATGAGATCTTGCCTACCTTGGCGACTATCTTAAATGGCCCCGCATACTTGCGAATCAGATTCTGATGCATGCCCCGTAGTGCCTTAAACTGTCTTGGATTAAACTTCACCATGACCATGTCCCCAACTCTATAGTCCGCGGGACGCCGCTTACGATCTGCAAACTTCTTCATCTTCTTAGCTGTCTTATCCAAGTAGGACTTAGCAGTGTCAAGCTTCTCCTCCTATCCTTTGGCCATATGATAACCCCCAAAGTCTTTCACTCAAACGCGGCTGGTAATGAATGTGGAGTTTGTGGCTGTTGGCCTGTGGCTAGCTCAAATGGTGTCCGTCCTGTGGACTCACTCTGCTGCAAGTTATAAGAGAATTGGGCGATGTCTAGGAGCCTTGACCAATCTTTCTGATGCGCGCTTACATAATGACTCAAGTAGTATTCTAGTAAGGCATTGACCCGTTCCGTTTGTCCATCTGTCTGTGGGTGGAAACTAGTGGAAAAGTGCAGTTCCGTGCCAAGTATGTCAAATAATTCTCTCCAAAAGTTTCCAGTAAAACGGGGGTCTCGATCACTGATAATATGCCTTGGTAAGCCCCAATACTTCATCACATTCTTAAAGAATGGCTTGGTGGCTTCCTTGGCAGTGCAACCTGGTGTGGCGGGCATGAAGGTGGCATATTTGGAAAATCTATCCACGACCACCATAATAGTACCATAACCGTCAGACTTCGGTAGGCAAGTGATAAAGTCC